GCAGGACCAGCCCCAGCTACATCATCCCAGACAAGGCTTTGTCTACCCAGGGCTTAAACACCTCCAAGGATGGAGACTCCCCCACCTCTCTGGGGAACCTGTTCCAGTGCTTTACTACCCTCCAGGTGAGAAAATTCGTCCTAATGTCCACACTAAGCCTCTTTTGCTGCAACTTGAGCCCATTGCTCCTCCTGTCATCTGCCGCCACTGAGAACAGTCCCGCTCCATCACCTTTGCAACTGCTGTTCAGGGAGTTGAAGGCTGCTATTCAGTCCCCCCTCAGTCATCTCTTCTGCAGACTAAATAAGCCCAATTCCCTCGGCCTTTCCTCACAAGTCATGTCCCCCAGCCCACAAACCATTTTCATTGCATTTTGCTGCGCTTTCTCCAATGTGTCCACATCCATTCTGCAGTGCGGGGCCCACAACTGGACACAGGACTCCAGATGTGGCCTCCCCAGTGCAGAACAGAGGGGCAGAATCACTGCCCTCAACCTACTGGCACCGCTCCTACCCATGCAGCCCAGGACGCCGTTAGCCTTCTTGGCAGCAAGGGCACACTGCTGGTTAACATTCAGTTTCTTGTCCCCTGTCACCCCCAGGTCCTTCTCTGCAGAGCTGCTCCCCAACGAGTCAGCCACCAGCCGGTCCTGGGGCCCGGGATTGTGTCGTCCCAAGTGAAGGACTTTACACTTGTCCTTCCTAGACCTCATGAGATTTCTTTTGGCCCAATCCTCCAGTATGTTGAGGTCTCTGTAAATCCTAGCCCTACCCTCCAGCATATCTACTCCTCCCCACTTCTTGATGTCATCTGCAAACTTGCTGAGGGCTCCTCCCATCCCAATTTCCCTGGTCGTTGATGAAGACGTTGAACAAAACATCCAGCATTGATTACTACCCTCTGAACCTGATGCTCCAGCCAGTTTTCTATGCCCCTTACAGTCCATTCATCCAGCCCGGACTTCCTTAGCTTGCCTGCAGGATGCTGTGAAGACCGTATCAGAAGCCTTGCTAAAATCAAGACTCACCATATCGACTTGTCTTCCTGCATGCACAGAGCCAGGGAGGCAGCAAACCAGCCAGGCTTTACCTGGCTGCAGCGGGGAGCTCAAGTGCACTGGGGCTCCCAGCATGCACTGGGCCGGGGTGGGGGCTCATTTCTCTGGTCTGCAGGTCCCAGTACAGGTCCTGGGCTCCGGGCTGCAGTGTCTGGGGGGAGACAAGGGCAGGTCAAAGACACCCAGAGGAGATGGGCAGGGGATGGTCCCAGTGCTGTGAGCCCGCCTGCTCCAACACCCTCGCAGCCCCCCCTGCCCTCACACCGCTGGGGAGGGAACCTAGGCGTCCGGGCAGTGACTCACAGAGGAAGTAGACCAGGGTCCCCCCCAGCACCGCGGCAGCCAGCACGCTCCCAACCATGGCTCCAGACGGCGCCGAGTGGGTGCACCCCTGAGACAGAGCCATCGTTAGACCAGTGGATCAACGGGGCTGGGACCAAGTCGACCTTGCAAATCAGGGTCATGCTGTGGCCAAAGGACAGGAACAGGGGCCCCAGCAGGGTAATGTGGGTGTTATCCAGACCGTCTGTGGGGAGAACAAGGGCTGACACTGCCCACAGCCACCCCAGAGCCAGCCGCATCACACAGGTCCCGTTACACCTAGTCCCAATGCCCACCCCACCGCCAGCTGCATCCCAGGCCTCTGATACCAGCCCGGACACCCAGCCCTAGAGCCAGCCGCATCCCAGGGTGTGATACCAGCCCTGACGCCCACCCCAGAGCCAGCTGCATCCCAGGGTGTGATACCAGCCCCGACACCCACCCCAGAGCCAGCCATGCTGTGTCTGACCACGAGGGCCAGAGATGGCCGATACTCACAGATCATGTTCACGATGACCCCGTGTCGCAGAGCATTGAGGTGCCCTGCTCCTAAAGAGGGGAAAACTGCCAGGGAAAGACCCCTAGCAGTGAATAAGGAGCCAGGAGCCCAGCTGTTGGTTGCCAGGGCAACTGGAGGGAACAAGAGGTCACACCTGCCAGCGGTCAGCTGATTGAAAGGGGCAGGGCCTGGCTCCTTTATAAACCTAGGAGCTGAGGCCAGAGGCAGTTTTCTGCCAGCAGCCCAGGAGGAAGGAGCTCTCTACCATGGGAGAGAGGAGAAGTATGATGCAGGAGCAGCATCAGCATCAGCATCAGCATCTAACACTGCTATGAGATGGAGAACCCTGGTAGGCTGGACTGCTGTTATGGCCGGGTATGATGCAGGAGCAGCATCAGCATCAGCATCAGCATCTAACACTGCTATGAGATGGAGAACCCTGGTAGGCTGGACTGCTGTTATGGCCGGGTGGCTTCCATTTAAGTTATATCCGAAGGGCTTGCATTTGTGTTGTTGTTTATCACCGGTGGTTTGGGTGAGGCTATCAGGGGATGGAGGAGGCCTCATTGGGGACCCACAGCAGAGTGGGGACCCCAGCGCCAGTGAGGACGCAGCATTCAGGGTGGACAGACCCCAGCCCCAGAGAGGGGCAGCTGAGGAGCCCCAGAGAGGGGGCCAGCATTACTGAGAAGCCCCAGTGCAGGCGTGGTGAGCCCAGAGAGAGGGCAGCCTTTATTGAGACGGCCCCAGAGGGAGGGCAGCATTACTGAGAAGACCCCGGAGAGGGTACACTACTGAGAAGCCTTTTTTTTTTTTTAAACATTTTATTAGAAAACCAGACTATAACAAAGGACTCAAAACGACCCCAAACAGAGGCCTCTCAAAAGGGTAATACAACATTTCAAATAACATAATACAAAACATCAGAATTGATATCATATTGCACGTCATCTCATTTGTACACAATATATACAACATCCCTGAGTATTGGCTATCTAATACATATTACACATATCACATTAGACATCCTGTACGCCCCCCCCCCCAAAAAAAAGGAAAGCAAGAACACTGAGTGCAATATAGGTCTCTTGTTGTCTCTATCCCATGTGCAACCCTAGCCAGCCTTTTCTACTCACAATGCTGACTCTTAGTTTAGCCTATATCTGTGCTGGGCTGAAACAACCCCCTGAAGTCCATCTCTTGCCAGAACTTTTCCTCTCCTCCTTCTTGGCCCCAGTGCGGGTGTGGTGAGCCCAGAGAGGGCGTAACATTACTGAGGAGCCCCAGAGAAGGGGCAGCATTACTGAGAAGCCCTAGTGCGGGCATGGTGAGCCCAGAGAGGGCGTAACATTACTGAGGAGCCCCAGAGAAGGGGCAGCATTACTGAGAAGCCCTAGTGCGGGCATGGTGAGCCCAGAGAGGGCGTAACATTACTGAGGAGCGCCAGAGAGGGGGCAGCCTTACCGAAAAGCCCCAGTGCAGGCGCAGTGAGCCCCTGAGAGAGGGCGGCATTACTGAGAAGGCCCCAGAGGAGGGCGGCATTAATGAGAAGCCCCTGGAGAGAGGGCACGGAGAGAGACAGGGCTGCAGAGAGCCCGAGTGCCAGAGAGCGTGTGGAGACAGAGAGAGAGGCAGAACAACGTCTGTTACACCTGCGAGGCTTGGGGCGTGGTACAGGGGTGGTAGAAGCCATGCGTAGCCCATAAGGCAGGGGTGTACAGAACACCAGAGACAGGAGAACCGTGGCCAAGAAGACAGAAGGCAGCCTCCCTATCGAAATATATAAAATCAAAGTCGTGGCAGACAAGAATTAGAGGGTG